AGGGAAAGAAACCAGCATTAATAAAAGTCACACAAAAATATTTCTGGAAAAAAAGATTCTTTAAGAGGCAACTAAGAAGTGTTCAGAAATGGCCCAGTTTGTTTGTAGAAATCACCTGATTCTGGAAATAAACCAGGAAAGCTCGAATAGTCTCCCTGTAGGGTTTGGACACACCTTTCCATAAAAAGTGATCACCTTCCACAATAGAGTACCTATACGAGTCACCATCAAGTGGAGTTAAAACTTAAAAAAGAAAACTAATATGCATACAAAATATAATACATAAGGACCTTTACAAAATAACTTCATTTTAGAGTTCCAAAGTCGAAGCACTCAATTATATGGTTTCTTACTACGTATATTCATATTGATACACTCACTTTCTCTTCCTCTACCCGGATTCCGTCTCTTTTTTCACCTCATTTTTTCTTCCCAACTCTTTCTCTCAATTTTCCACCATATCATCACTTATCACATATTTCATTTTCCCTCTCTAAATTTTTTTCTTTCTTTTCCTCTCCCATCCCTACACCTATCCACCCCAATATTGGGGAAGCCATGACATGACTTCCGACCTCCCACATTGGGTAACAAATAATCACCACCCCAAAATCCTACAACTTAGCAATTAGCACACTACTAATTCAATATGCCCAACTCAACACAGCAACCCCTAAAGCATCAAACATGAGAAAGGGGACCAAGCCTAATTATCCATACCTGAATCAGAGGTATCAAGCATGGAGCAACAATAATTATCAATTAAGAATGTGATACCCACCATTCTGGTTTAGCTTGCAGTGGATCAAGGGGTAGACGATGCCCAAGCAAATTCCGAACCGCGAGAGCCTCGACGGTACTTTGATCAGACAACCTCAGACACCTGGAACGTATGTCTCCAACAGCAGGACCACCTGCAACGCACACAGGCAAAAACCCAATAAACCAATCCCCTAATTCCTTGCCCTCAAAATCTGATTCGACGAGTCTAAAAAAAAAAAACTAAATGTGCAAACACTTTGGAAGTAATTAAACATGGCGCAGTACCGAGAACACGAACAATCTCAGCAGTGCTTCCACCGTCGTCGGAAACGGGGAGAACGTGAGCGACGCGGGTGGTGAAGTTCTTGAGGTCTTCGACGACACCGTTGAAGGCTGTCCCTCCAGAGAAGACGAGGAGAGCAGGCGGAGGGTGAGGAGGATTAGGGTTTGAGTAACAGCGGCGATGGTGTGATGGAAAGGTCGCCATTGAAGAAGACGATGACGATGATGATGATGAGAAGATTCTGGTGGAGGTTGGGAAGGAGAGGGGAAGGGTATTGCAGAAAGTGGGACCCAACCATGTGTCCACCATATCAAAACTAGCGGTACTTGTGAGTACTTTTGTGAGGGGAAGGCTAGTTTTAATTATAGTTTCTTTTTTTACACGAGGAAATTAAAAATAAGAAAATATAAGTAACTAGCTAGTAGAAATGAAACTCCCATTTTATCTATTAAGTGTCTAGTTGTGTGTTTGGTTTAGATTTTTAACCTAATTTATTAAGTTAAAATAGAAACTATCATTTATAATTTGTATGTTTTATACGTAATTTTTGTTTTATTCATGTTTTAAACGTATAACTAAATACGCACTAAGATCAAACTATATAAAGATAAAGGGTCTCTTAAACATATTCAAACAATGCATTTGAGGTAGCTCCAAGCTTGGCAAACACGTTCACACATTGTTTGATTTCCCTCCAAGTGTGTAGGACTTTACAATCTTATTGATAATGCATGAAACTCTTCTATCTTTCCAAGTTCATTGTTGAAAAGATGGTGAGGGAAAGGTATATTATGGACAAGAGTAACACATTGCTTTGAGTCACAAGCAAACTACCTACCTGCCTATAATTTGTATTTAATTTGTGTTTTTACGAGTGATATTCTCGAATTCTTATCTTGTGTTTGTTTTCGTTGAGAAATAAATAAATGATTTATGAGACAAAAAGATCACCTTTATGAGAAAGGGCCGATCGCTTATGATTAATAAAAGGGACGATCACTTAAAACTCACGGTTAGAAAGAACTCAAAAAATTAATTAGATATATATGTGTGTGACTTTTTTTTAAGTTATTTATTCTTTTTAATTTGAAAATAACCTAATACTAAAAATAAAAATATCCTTAGATTCAAACCGCATATTCATAGAAATTTTTTAAGGTGTTTTGGATGAATCTTTAAACAAGTCATGGACGCATATATATTGGTTTAAACTTCAAATTACATATATATGTTTTATTTAAATAATTTTTCTTGCTTTTCAAAAATATTATTTATATTGTTTAATGTGTTATATCGATACGAATAAAGTTTATATCTATAACATTTAGTTAACTTTTTTATCTTTAAATTACTAACATTTATTTATATACGAAGAAAGTTAATAAAATTTAAATTTTTAAAAAATAAACAAATAGTTAGACTTGATTAACTAATCCAATTTAATCTTGTTCATAATTAAGTCATTCGGTTTCAATTTGATTATACAAATTCAACTCAACCTAATTTAATTCATATAATTTTGATCAATTGGTTAGCAAATTTAGTCAAATTAAATTCAAAACAACAATAAACACCTACTCAAAATTATGGTAAAAAATAATGAAAATTTATGTCTCTTTAAAAATATTAAAATGATTATATAAAGCACTTGTATTTTTTTTATTGGTCAAAATGATGTAATCTAAATTCATGGAAAACGAGTTTTGATCATTTTAAGCAACAAGTTCTTCAACTAAAAAATAAGCAGCAAAAAATATATAAATAGAAAATATAATAGATGAATTATACATTATAAATAAAACAGTCTAATAAGACAAATGGAGATTTGCCAGAAAGAAGATCTTTTAACAAGAACTTGAGTTTTTCCATAAAAACAAAAAGAGAAGCACCAACCTCTCAAAATCTCAATTCTTTAATACACTTCTAAAAGTAGTTACATGAAGTGAGAAAGATCTACTTATACTTAACCCATTAAAGAAGTGTGCTTAGCACACTTTTGAAAGCTAATTTCATATACAAAAGGTTTTGACATGTAAAAGAAATTCAAAATTCAATCACTCTTGCACTAAATTTGTCGAGCAGAATTCAAATTCATTAAACGAACAAGTCTTTATGTTTAGTGAAAGCATCTCGCCTAGCAAATTTTTCTTTTTGGCTTCCCATATATTAGAATGTAAAATGCAATTTTTATCGCACTAGATTTGTTGAGCATAATTCAAGTTCATTGAAAAATCGATTTTCTTACTCAATAAAAGCATTTCATTGAGCAAATTTTACTCTTTAACTTCCTATATATTAAAATTTATTAAACAAATAACTTTACTCAAACAAGTTTTATTCTTTAACTTCCAAAGATGAAAATTCACTAAACCAATTATATGTACTAAATGAATTTTAGTCTCTATTAACCATTCAAATACATTTTCAAACTTAAGTCTCCATATACTAGACCAAAATTTAAACATGTCATAAGTCCTATTTCATTGATTGATACAAACTTACTCAACAAGTGAAGGCAAAAACACACAAAACATTTTATAAGTTATTTACGACCACCATTGTGTCCAAAACCTATTCTATCGGTTGAGTTCAAGTTATAAGCCTCTCTTCTATTCCCTCCGAAAAGTTTAGTAATAATTTCAACCTCTTTTATAGATCTTCTTCAAGTCTTTGGCTACTTACTCTTGTCATGGGTCCGTTGAATTGCAATAACTCCTCTTCAAGTTCTTCTCGTGCCTATCTTTTGGCGACAGCCCTTTATAATTATGTCTCTGAAAATTTTGAAGTTATTATGTAAAGCAGTCGTGATTTCTTATGGGTCAGAATGACTGCGGCGTTGAAGCAAAATTTACTATATTAGTTTGAATTTGCAATATTCAACTATTTCCTCATCGGAAATTTTTCATTTATATCTGTCAACATATACAAATGTGGCAAGAAATGTCAAGGTGACATTTTCACGTTATGTAGTTTTTCAAGTTTTTGTCCCATAATTGCCGTCAATGGCTAAGAATAGCAGATATCAAGAAAGCCTAAATTAGCTAATCAACTTCAAATTTCAAGGAGAAAAAGTATTAAAAAAAAAAAAATCTTAGTAAGGTAAGCTCTTGGAACTTGTGCTAATAATCAAAGATTTCAATTTTGAAGACTCCCCTGCTGCATTTGCCCTCTGCGTTATTATTTCCATATTCCTATGCAAACTTTGTTTCACCAAACTCTTCATCAATTTCTTCCCTTCTTTTGCTTCTATTTGATTCACCGGTGACCCCATTGCAAATCTCGGTGTTTGTGGACCAGAATGTGGCCCCACCCTTGTTTGTCTCTCATCCTTAAACCATTGCAAAAGTTTCATTGCTCTCTTCTGAGCCAAAGGACTCCCCAACAGAACCACTTCAAGAAGCACATGAACAATCCCTGCCTCTGCCATTTTCTTTCTTTGCAGTGAACTTTGATGTGCTAGAATCATCAAAATATACACTGACAACTCTTGGCATTTAGGTTTATCTTCCCATGACAAGATCTCAATAAATCTTTCTGGCACCATTGAGCTGTTCTCCATTGCTTTCTTTCCCATCAAAGTCACTGACAAGTTCCCTAGAGTGGCAAGGGCTTTCTCAGAAACTTCTTTCACTGAGGAAACTTCCAAGAGGAAAGGGACCACCCCACTTGAAACCAAAGGACCTGCATTCTCTAACACAGTTGATAGGTTATATAAGGCACCTAAACAACATTGTTTGGTGTCAAAACTTCTTGAGCCTGTCTCAAGAATGTTTCTAAGTAATGGGAGAAAGTCCAATGAAGCAAGAGGGAATTGAGTGTTTGCTAGAGATGACAATGACAAAAGCAATTCTGCCAATTTACTTGTTGTTGATTCATCTACAAGGTCAATTGTATTAGGCAGCTTGGACAGTATTCCTGCCTCCACTATCAAAGCCTTGTTCCTGAAGAAAGAAAGTAATAGACACGTCAGATAAGGACTAAAAGCATGTTTCAACTTTCAACTCAGTCAAAGTTAGGTCAAAAACAAATATTACTACTATACTCTATTTGATATTCTCTCAAAGTCAGCATAAACTAGAGCCCGGAAAATCAATTCTCAACTAGCACCATCCCACCTTCTTCAATTCATTTTTTCTTGGTTTGATGGGAATGGTGCAATTTGTGTAATAAAGAATAAGAAGGACAAACCAACTAAATTAAAAACATTATTTACAACAGAGTGAAGTCAACGAGAATCTGAAGTTAATATCTGTGTTGGAAAATGAAGGTCAACAATAGACATCAAATTTTCTTAAAGATCATAAAGGAATCTGATCAACTACCCTATATTATATAATCTGTAATTTATGAATTTTAGGACAAAAATGTCGCTCCAATATGAACTCTGTCTCCTCTAGTTTATCCCAACAGCCCAGCAACTCAGTTGACACTGCACGTTTTGGTGATTTGATAGTATTAATTATGTTTCTTCCAACTAATACTGACTTAACACATCACAGCATGGCAGCACAGTGGGATTTTCCGCAAATTTGATCCGAAAATATTGGCTAAATTTCTTTCTCGTATTTAATGTCATGAATACAAGTTTATTGAGTTTGCTAATCTCTCTGTTATTCATTATAAACAAAATATATATATTTCTTTTTTCTTAAATATAAATAAATTTAATTATTTTTTATCATTTAATGATATTTTTTCTAAAATACCTCCTCTTTATTGTATTATCTTTCAATTGTACTATTTCTTTTCACATTTATAACAAAAATAATTTTAAAAAAATCTTATGAAAATAGTAAAATTTAATGCAAACAATCAACTAGTAAAATTTAATACAAATAACCAACTTTCTTGATATATATAAAATTAGTTATTTTTACTAATGGGAAAAGAGAGAATAACTTTCATGCTTCTACAGCCTTTCGCCCACATGATGTCTTTGCATTTTGTTTAAATTTGAATTATTCATTTGTCTTTCTTTTATTTATTTATCAATTTTTTAAAGCTATGGAAATGTATCGAACACTTTGGTTGTGGTTACTGTGGAGTCATGAACCAAATTAACCCGCCAAGTCCAACTGCTACTTTTTGTACATCAATCTTGTCCTCGCTCCCCAAAAGTCAAAATGAGCGGTTACTCAATGCTCACCATGGCTCCACTCACAAGTTTCTTCATAAAATATGATTGCAAATTTGTCCATTACAAATAATAGTATGGCAGATAAGAAGACAACAAAAGTATGACAATGATAAATAAAATTTTAGTGTAGTTCTAATTCATGCACCTTGATTTCTTGTTAGTGACCTTAATCAAATTTACAAATTCCGTTCTATTTTATCTTTTTTTTTTTCTCTCACAATATTTTTAATCATTCATTTTTATCTTTCTGTGTCATTGGATGGACGTCTATTCTGGTATGAATATATATGTTAGCCACACCCAACAACTTCCGACTCTTTAAACTAATCTCAAGTAAAATCTGTTACAATATGTATATATATACCCCTTCTCCCCTTCTTTGTAACACACAATAATATTACTCAATACACATATTACTTTTCTCCTTTTTCTATTTTTCTCTCTTCTTCACAAAATCAATTCAACATTTCAACCAATAAAATCTGAAGAACTTATTAAATCACTCACAGGGTTTCAAGTTTGAATCAAACACAGTTCCACATCAAGTTAATAACAAAGGTTTTTCAAACCAAAGAAAAAAATTAAGACTATGACTATCCAACACTAAAAAAACATACTAGTTCAGGTTGTGATCATTCATAAAAAGAAAGAACATAGTTGCAAAACTTACGTGTAAGTTCCATCAGCTAGGTGGATCAACGCCGTCAACCCTGCTTGCCGGCGGCTATTCACCGGCGACACCGCCATAGACACCAGCACCGGCACTACCCCAAGTTCTGTTATCAACTTTCTAACCTTAACATCTTCCTTGGCTAACTTTTCAATCTCCTTTACTGCAACCTCCTTCTCTTCCCAGCTTCCAAAGTGAAGCATCTTCACAGTTCTCTGCATCATGATCACAGACTCTTCCTCCTCCTCCTCCTCCTCCTTCTCCTTATGCTTCTCCGTAACTTGAACTGTTTCAAAATTTTCTACTTTGTTGTCGGGTTCAGTTTTGTTCTTTGCGGTGTCAAATCGATCAGAGGGTTCACATCGCTTTCTGGTTGCTTTGGATTGGAGAAACCGTCTGATACGGGCAAAGAACTGAAGCTTTATGTTAGACAACACCCAAATAGAAGAAGATGATGATGATGTTGGAGTTGACATGTTTGAGAGGAAGGAGAAAAAACAAAGCAAGATATTGATATTTGAAAAAGTGTGTTTGGGGTTTGGTTCTTATACAATTTAGTTTCTGTTTCTATCTTTGGAGACAGAGAGAGAAGGGAGAGAAAGAGAATCAATGAGACTATTTGAAGAGCTCTGTGATCTTTAAAATACAGAGGGAGCACAGAGCACATGCAGAAACCAGTGCTGTCCCATTATAATGTAATCGTGGTATTATTATCATACAAGATCTCAAATTATGAATTTATTAAGTAATGGAATTCATGCATCATTTGTTTTAATTTTAATAAAAAGATTTCCGTACCTGAACTTGACTAGGGACAAGATGCAAATTTAATAACTCATGCAGTTGTGACTATATTAGAACTAAAATATTATAAAAGTAGCACTATTTGTAGATTTAATTTAAGTTAAAAGTCCATAGTCTATGTAACCATTTATTTAGATAAACTAGTACTACATTTGGTACAATATCACTAAGGCCTAATGTTGGGTCTTTCTTGGCTAGCGTTTCACGATCTAAACCTAAGTAGTGGAGATGAAATGTTATGAGCATAGGTGGTCAAATTCAATTTTAGGGACCTTCATGGGTTGGAAAACTCTTTGTTCACTGGTCCCAAGTAGCTAGGTTGCTTAATATGACTTGGCATTTTGTTCATTAAAAGAGACAACTACGAACTAAATTTAGACTTCGGTTTGGATGTAAACCCACGTCCATTGCACGTGAGAATGAGGGAGACCCAGCCTATATGTTCCCCCATGGAGCCATAAAATTTGGGGCAGTGCACACGCGTCAACATTAATGGTCACTTAATATATTTTCTTAATCCTTCATTGGCTACACAATCTGATCTGGATCGGTGGCTGTGATATTCTCACATGCATTAGCATTAGAGATTAATTGATCATGTCAAGTTCCCCTTAATTGCATGAAGAGGACTAGAGAAGCAGTCTCATTTATGAATTTTGTGGATTGATTTATCGATTATGCTACTGAAAGACCAAGTTAAATATAAGCCCTCTATTTATTGTGTATTGAAATGCATTTAAAACCTAGCAGTTTATATAGATGTATCATAGAGATTTGAGCAAGGAGAATATGTGGTGGAATTCTTGGAGAAATGAATATAATCTAGAATAAGAACTGAAGAAGCCAGATAGATAGGTAGTAGTAATGCATTAAAGAGCATCTTCGTTGACAAATAAAAGAAAGAGAAATATTATTTTAGTTATATGTGGGTATTAAGGTAATTTCGTATGCAAATAGGTCATCACCAATTTAGACCCACAAAATAGGGCTATTAAGTTAAGAGTAATAAACATAGGTATAGATTGTTTGGGTGGGGAGATATATTTGATACTTTGATGGCTGTGGCATTTCCATGTTGGAGTCCACTACAAATAATTATCCATCCGTGAATTGCAAGCACTCAAGTTTCCCACGTGTGAAGGAACCACCACCTCACTCATCGTTAGCAGTTACATTTTCGTTTTGATTTTGGATTTCTAGTGTGTGTGACAGTGCAAATATGATGTGTGCCACTCCCAGAATTAACTTGCGTATCACCAAAAACATTTGTTCTTATTCACACGAACCGTAACTTAATGTCTGCTAGCAAAATTTGGTTATCCCAATTCCAAATTAATGAAAACGCTCGAAATCTAATATTACTGTGTGCGTGTGGCCAAGTGTGTTTTGCAAGCAAAGTGAAAATTGCGTCAATAACGTTATTAGTTAAATTGTTTTTTAGCGTTTTTGGTCAAACTCTTCTCAACTCAAACCATCACATAATATAATAAAATAAAATAATTTAAAACACGGGTGATTTTTCGCGTATTTAGTTTATTTTGATCACTTACGCAACTAATTAATTTATTTTAGTCATGTAGTTTTTTTTTTTTACTACAAGTTATGTAGTTTTCTTATTAACCCATGAAGAGGAATCTTTTGCACGGAACTATATATGCGTTTTAGTGAAGATAAATAAAATTTCAAAGTGTCATTATGCTCATGTGTCAACTTGTTGCGCACGTGAAGACGTATATATACAAGTGACCAAGATTGTATTCTACTTCTCTGATTAATTTCTGAATGAAGCTAGTCTTCGACGATATTGAAGCAATATTTCCTCAGACATGCTTTCCATCAATGCTGGTATCATTGGCCAAAGATTGATCAGAGTTTTCAATCGCGGCATAAACACTAGAACAACAGGAACAGGAAATCGTGTCACACACATTACGTACCTTATTTTTTTTATTTTTAATAGTGTTTGATTTAAACCAGATTAAGGAGTATCGGATCTTAAAGGTTGGTGATTTTCCACTTTTCGGAATTATCTCTTCTCCAGATCAAGTAGAGATTAAAAGTAACGCTATGTTTAATATTAATTGGAAAGAATTGAATATAAATTCATAAAACAAAGATAATAGTTGACAAGTAATTAGGTTTTCAAACATGTTAATAAAAAGGAATTAGTCTTGCTATTACAAGTATTATACTTTGGTAATAAAGAGAAACACTCTTTAATTTGCAGCAAGTATAAATCTATGTCTATTTGAAATACACCCAATAATAAAAAATGAATTAAAAAATTGTCAAAGACTTTACTACGTACTATGGTTCATTTTAAAAATAACCAAATAATAATTTTAAAATATTAAAATAAAATTCCTTAAAAAAATTTTACCGACTCATTCAGACAACTACAAAATAATAAGATATGGATTGAGAAAAATAAACGCATAATTAAAAAAATTTAATGGATTAAAAGTACTATATGGTTACTGCTCCAATAGAGCTTAGAGGATGAGAGTAACAAGGGACATTATCGTAAACAAACAGCATAGAATTCAATCAAGGATGAAAAGCATAAACATGCGGCTACGTTAATCTTAATCAACCCCAAATATTTATCAAAAGATGGGATTGGGAACAAATGAGAAGCTTTGTTTTTTTTCTTTGTTTTTTCCCTTCCATAAAAAGTAAAAACTGAATGCTGATGTGTTAAATTTCTTTTGTAAGGTGAAGTTAGATGGATGGAGGTTCACGGATTAGTGATAAAAAATATGTGGCTATGAGACCTCCTTGCATCTATCAGCACCACATGGGACAAGCATTTGTCATCACACGTGGGACTCGACACGTGTGGAGAGTGAGTCAAAATGGGCACCCCACTAATGAAATTTCATTAGTTTTAAAAAGTGGAAGGTTTTCCACAACCAGCACCAAGTGCAGTGCCACCAAAGGGAAAAACAACTTGATAGGCTCATCACATTTATGGGTCTTTATTGCAATTTTATCCAATCATGGCTCTTCAGACTGACAAAGACTAAAAGTGTAAAAAATCAAATCCCACAAGCCCAACCTATGCTTGCGTGCAAATTCGTTTCAGCAAGAACTGGAGGCAGGAGGCTTTAATTTATGGAATAATATTATAACACTTTTCATTGTTTCTAAGCACAATTCACGAAGGCTCTTCTATGCTACTGTTAGTTTGAACCTTTTTAATAGTCCACCACGTGTTCCAACTTCCAAGTCTTATACTAGGATGATCTGATATGTATCTTTTTCAAGTGTTTGGTTAATGCAATGGTCAACGCAATTCAGGAAATTTCTTTCTCACTTTCTTTTTAGTTCTTTCCCATTTTGTTTTGGATATCCGTGTTTAATTTGGCTGCAGCCAACTTAAGCCTAATGTGCACAGAAAAATAATAACAATTTCTTCAAACTTGAAACGTATGTATTAGGTGGTTTGTGACCCAAAAATGACTGCCAAATAAAGGAGTATATAAAATCGGAAGACCAACATTATTTGACACAACAAACAAAATAAAATAACAAAAAAACCACCAAAATTGCACCAGCCGGGAATCGAACCCGGGTCTGTACCGTGGCAGGGTACTATTCTACCACTAGACCACTGGTGCTTCGTTGCTTGATTGAAGGCAAAATAAATTAGTTAATAGAAATCAATAACAAACTAGCATAAAACAAATAAATTCACTTGGTTTAATAAAATATGAGAAATTTTTAAATCTGACTCCAAACTTTATAAACCATTTAAATGAAATCATATTATCCCTAGCCCCATATTAAATCAAGATGATGCTTACAATTAGAATTAACATCAACATAAAATATGTTTGGCATTCAATATATTTTTGCTTGTAGGAGTAAAAAATCAATCCATCTATCTACACAGTCTAGGACAAATTGACGACTGTGTAACATGGTTATAATTTAGTGTTATATTAACAAAGCAAATGGTTGGCATCAACATGCACAAGATTCTTTGCAGCGGGTATAGATAAATACATTCTTCACTCTCTCTCCTAATTAAATTTGATTCACCAATTGTTGAAAAAGGGACTCGAGATTTTGTGTTAGCTCAGGTGGGTAATCACACAGACAAAAAGATACTTTGAAAGACATTGATCCATCTCCTTCTTTATCAGCATATGGTTCAAACTTCTACTTCATCATAATCCAGTGGGATTTAAACCTTTGCTTGCTTCTGCTAGCTGCATTCTTCTTCAATCCCTTCACTTGGCTAATAACTTCCGCCAATAATGTCTTTATCCCTTTAAGAGTAACAATTGACTTGCCAAATCAAAGTAATAACGAATGTTTTCTTAAAGAATAAGGAGGAATATTGTGAATAAAAAATAACTCAGTAACTATGAATATATACATCTACTCGCTTCAAAATTATGTGATATCTATTTTCAATTAAAAAATAGCTTTACGAGTACATTATTAGTGTTCCGATTAATGCCCTATCTAACTATCACCCAGAACATTTTAACTAAAAGTTTGTCAGGCTGAATACAGAAGTTGATAGATACTTTGAGAATGGTTGGTGTTCAACTAATCTTTTTCAACTACTTTGATAGAAAAATAAAATAATATAATATATATATACCCAACATTTGAGATTAATTAATTTGTTACCATGGGAAATGGGATTAGTGAAGAATTATCAAGACATCTAACTAGTGTAATTTAGTTTAGTAATTTACTAATTTCTATAATTCAATGCTTACTAATTTACTAATTTCTATATTTGTAGTTTAGTAATTGACTCACTACCTGGGGAATGGATGTTTATGTGGATTAACAGGAACTACGGCCAACCATATGGGGTTTGGGTTTGTGCAATCAATGTCCGGGCTTATAACCCAACTAAATGTCGTGGAGGATCATAAAACCTAAGTATTAGTTCCATGTGAGATAACGATACTTTTAAATAATTATAGGCGTCTCGAACAGGTTAAGGAATAAATTACTATTTGACACACAAAGTTTGTTTATGTCATGTCACTTATGTGTATCTCTAGCCAAGCAACAATTAATTAAGTTCTCCACAGTATGTACAAAGTGATGTATCTAGCCATTGCGCGGCCCACGAAGGAACCACCACAACTCTCTAGGAAACCCTTGTGTTGTGGCAGATACGATTTGGGATTGTTAAAATATGAGGTGACCCCAGTCACGATATTGGGGCTTTTGCATTTGGAGTAGTGTGTGTGGTTCTTGTTTGGTAGAGCAGCGGAGGGTTTATGTGAGAATTAAGGTTACTGCTACTAAAAAAATATTAAACTGAGAAAATAAAAATTCTTCATTCATGTCTCATGCAATTTTGGAATACATCTTAATTTGCGATTATAATTAGGTTTGGGCTCAAAAACTAAAAACCCATTTAAAGAAACAACTAAAGTATAACATAAAAGATCTAACAAGTCTGTAATTTAGACATAGTGTGTGTTTGTTTTATTGATAGCATTCATTCCTAGGCAACTAAACGGAGAAGTATGTGAGAAGAATCTTTCAAATGAACGTACTTTTATCTCTCCCAAACTGAAAACTAAACACACTAATAGTCTTTTAAGCGGTATGGCCCAAAAGATAAGCATTTAGGCCTATGTATGCAAATTTGGGCAAATAATATATATCGCTCAAAAAGATGGTATAGGAGACCATATTTAATTAAAGGTACTTTATTAATTATTTTTTCAATTTCTCATCCTATCATGTGATATCAATTATTATATTTATTTTAATTTCTAAGTATCGAATAGCATATAAGTGTCAAAAATCATTTTTTTGTTTTCTACCATACCAGAAGTCATTTTTTGATTGTGCAAGCAGCAAAACTTAATTATTAGAAATTATGAATATAAAGCAATGATGATTAATGTTCACAGAAATAAGGATGGCCCCTCATCCGTTTCCTATTTAACCGGTCTTCATTACTAATTATAAGTATTAAGAAAGTTGAGAAAGAGAGGAAAAATCGGGTCAAAACAAGAGTTTGAACCATCAGAAATAAAGGAAGGAATTACAACCTCACACATTAAACAGACACGGCGACAATATTTTGATCCACATCTGTATAAAACGCCACCCTCCCTTCCTTGCACTCAGTACCGAATCAAACCCTCATCCAAATAAAACCATCTAGCAGGTTTCACAATAATGGCAAAATCTACAATCATCGTTCTCGTCTCTGCCCTTTGCTTCTTATCCTTCCTAGGCTTGGCTTGTGCCAAAGACCGCTTCGTAGTGGAGGGCACCGTTTACTGTGACACATGTCGCCTCCAGTTCCTCACCAAGCTCTCCGAGTTCCTCGAAGGTACCTACTGCTTCTTTCACATGCACACATTAATAAATCATCGCCATGCACGTAGCTACAAAGTACATACTCATACCACATATATAACATGGTATCACCATTGGCAAATTTTAAATTGCCATTGTGGTGGTAGTAGAATGATTAAGTGCATGTTTGGATGTGAGTCAGGAATCCATGTGCTTTTAGTAAATCCGCGTGGTAACAATGCAGAAGCAAGTTATCTGGATCAAAGTTGACTTAGACTCAAAATTTGTTTGCATACAAATTTAGAAACAATTTTAAAAACCTTTTTTTTTTTTTTTTTCTAACTTATATTAACAAACTCTTAGTTCCAAACACACACACCGGATGAATGTGAATTATACATGCAAGATGAGTAAACAAAATTATACATTTTCAACCAATCAGACATGATTATTAATGAGTTTTACACGTGAGTTTGTGAGTGAATGATATATATATGGTATCAGGTGCTACCGTCCGTGTTGAGTGTTCACAAGTTGACAACAGCAAGAACGTGACATTCAGCAAAGAGGCTATAACAGATGCATCGGGGACATACAGAGTGGAGGTGGACGGAGACCACGAGGAAGACACGTGCGAGGTTGTGCTTGTGAAGAGTCCTAGGGGTGATTGTTCGGAGATAGACCGCGAGTCTCACCTGCAACAAGCAGCAAGAGTGAGCATCACGAAGAACAGTGGAATAGTGTCCCCAATGCGCCAGGCCAACCCTCTTGGTTTCCTCAAGAAGGAGCGTCTCCCTGGTTGCCTTGACCTGCTCAAGGAGCTTGGAATCAACGAAGATGGCACCCCCATATAAACAAAACATTCAAGGCTTCTGTTAGCACTTTCAAAGGATCGCTCCATCTTTTCCTTTTCTCCTTGTAGCTTTAATTAGGATCAAGATGTGAGCTAGAACCAATAATAGTAATAATATATAATAATAATTATGAGTGGGATGCGGTAGAGGGAGTTTTTCTTATAGACTTTAAACAAGTCTTCAAAGGATCCTTTGGCTTGTAGTACTCTCTCATTTTCGTACTTAATTAATTGGTGGAGTTTATATATATATATATATATATGGTGACTGATATCTGTTTTTCGTTTCATTCCTTCTGCATCATGTAATCCTCTTATTTCAGCTAAATAGAACAAAATATATAATAATAGGGGATTCTAATATTCCCATTTAATATGATTAGTGTTTCTCTTTTTGCGCCTAATATGATTACTGTTAGCGATCTTTCTTTAATAAATTATTCTCAAAAAAACTATATATATTATGCTTAATGAAAAAAAAAATATAGAGTTTAATTTTAACATACTCTCATCGTAAACCAAGTACAAAATGCCCTATAAATATGATTTTTAAATATTAAATTCAGCAATATAATCATGCATGAGAATTCATGATTAAATGACAAGATAAAAAGTCTTTATACTATACTATATTCTAATTTAATTCACTAAAGTAAACCACCAATATATATATAAATATGTTGTGAATATTTGTAAATGATTAATTTATCTACAATTTGATATATGCATAATCATCAAGATAACATTATAATTTAACCGTTAGATTTATCAAATTTGCATTTTAAAAATGTTTTACTGGAATAAATTTGCAAGACTTACACATAAAATAAGCAAACCTCTTTCCTATATTTATATATACAATGCTATACTTACACATACTCTTTTGCAGTTTGTATACTTTTTTTTTTTTATATCATTTAACTATAATTAATCCCGTTTCATTTTTAAAAACAGATAAATTCTGACATTGTTACGTACAGCATGTGCAAGCTTTTATCTTTATATCTTAAAATTAAAACAGTACGAAACTGGCAGCTAGTGCCATTGAATTTAGTGTGTACATGTCTCCAAATAAGAAAATAAAGTTATGATACATGGACGCATCGATCATTGATCTCTTTAGTTACAAAAGTTCGTCACATATTTGGGTTTGCCCAAAAACACAGGGTTTTCGCTTTAAACGACATGGGCTTATAAAGCCTTGTTGGATATCCTAAGTGATAGTGAGACGTGCTATTAAATGGGTTTAGATATGTATCCCAAATTTTCCACTCCTCAGTTCCCCGTTCCCCAGCTCCTAGATTAGGATTATCCGGTTATTTATCAACAGAGCTAACTTGAAAAAAAGTTTGAGATTAATTAACTCGTTTAGCTAATTATATTTTTATATGCAGAATAATGAAAATATTAAAAGAGTAGAAGAGGCACTTCAACTCTTAAACACTAAAGTATCAACTAGAGAGAAGAAAAATACATCTAATGGGTTTAGTACACCGGTTAAACTAATTAAGTTTATATAAGATTTAAGCTGAAAATTAAACTATTAAAACAAAAAATTTGATTAGTTTGGTTTAGAGAAACGTTAACTAATAACATATATATTTTCTAACTCGTTATTTATTATTGACTGAAATTTGTTAAAAATTATAAAATAGATGTTTGGGTTAAAGTTTGCAAACTTAATTATATGTTTGAGTAGTTATTCTTTTTGCAATAGGGATAATGGTCTTGTTTCTATGTAACTCAGTTTTTAGGCAAAGTATATGTAAATGTACTTTTAAAGATAACCAAATTTGTCATGACATTGAGTTTACTCTCCAACTGAGTTTGGAGCACCTCAAATCGAAATCCTAACAGCTAATATTATGTGGATCTCACTCTTTATTTAATCACGTAATTTTATAATTTTTAATTAATTTTAACTAATAAAAAAACCATTGGAAGAAAATGTGTTATTAGTGCCTTTCATTTAGTTTATATGAACATTTGATATATGTATGAATAAAGTATAAAAAAAAAAAAGTTAATGTTTTGTAGATACCTACAGTGACGGATCCAGAAATTTTAGATAATTGAGATAATATTTATTTATATATTTGTAGTATTCAAAATTTTATATATAACTTTTAAAAGTATAAATATATATTATAATTATTTTTTACAAGTTTTTATATCTACAATTACGGTTAAAGATGAAAACAAACTAGGTCAGACTATATTATATTATAATTTAATAGATTTTAACCTAACTTTATTTAAAAATACATGTTTTAAATATGACATATTTATTTGTCATAAATATTTTTAAATGTTTGGTTCGAACTACAATCTTAAAAACCTACTTTATAATAATTTAACACTAATAAAAATATAAAAATAAATATGTTAAATTTTATAAAAATCAAGTTTAATTTATTTATGATATAAACATGTTTTAATATGTGATATAATTTTTTAGATGATAATTTATTTTAAAATATATTTTATAATAAAATTTATAAATAGAACATAAATCTTCCAATTTTTTCTATTTTGACTTTTTTAAATTAACGTATATAATCTTACAATTTTTACTATTTTGATTTTTTTTATCAACATATACAATAAATAAAAAATACAAAAGGTAAACATGTATATTACAAATTTTATTTTATCAAAAATTAATATATTACATTATATATGTGAGTATTAATATATATATATTATAATTAAACTTTTTAAAAATATTAATTCGTTATTAAAGAGCATTTTTTATCACATATGAAAATTAATCTTATTTGAAAGCTTGATAAATATCAAATAAATAAATAGCTTTTCCAAATTTATATTTTATACATACGATAATTTAAATATATATATATATATATATATATATTATTAGAAGATAAAAAAATTGTGTATGTGTAAAATGGTAGTGGGGCCTCACTATGTTGTAAGTAGATCTGTCCTTGGATACCTATGGATCCATCAACACCTAAAAAGGACCAAAAAAAAAAAACAAATTGAAAAGAGGAAAAATATATGTAATATAATATATTACGTGATAAGAAAAATTAGAAAAAAAAAATAGAAATGAGTGTAAAATAATGAGGTGTTCAAGTATATATTTCTAAAAATATATTAAAAAAAATGGTAGAGTATCATTCAACAAAATACTATAAAAAAGGAAAAGAAAAGAAAAAGACACATCTTTAATTAGAAGTGGTACGAATGAAAATTATTAAGGTTAACTTAATAGTAAATTAAGAGTTTAAGTAGTTATGAAGCTCAAACTTTAATATATTAAAAGAAAAAAAAATGCTAATTCACGTGACAACTTGTAAGGAGGCACGTGAGCCAATGTCTTTAATTTGTGTTGATAGGTAGTATGCCTATTTTATCTCACACAAGATATAATCTTTTTAACATAAATAGTTTTTTAAACATTATTTTTTAGGTAATTATTTTGGCTGTTGATTAAGATAATTAAAAAATAACATATACATTAAAATGCCGTGAACAAAATCAATATAAAACTTTTCGACGGACAATTTATACCAACATTATTTTTCAGGTAATCAATTTCTACGCATAATTTATTATTATATATACCAACATTCTGCTACCAACCTATATAGGCTAAAATGACACCAAAATATATACCAACATTTATTCATCACAATAATTTGGAACTTATTTATCATATGCCTAATGACTCACAACACATGTGATGTGACAAAAGAAAATAAAAGGATATATAAAACTATGTGTATTAACATGTTAAGTCATAAGGGAACCCGTAAATTAACATCATATTTCATTTCAAACATTTTATCTTATATCGATAATGTTTAGTTGCCATTTGATAAAGGAATATTTTTCTTTTATAACAACAAGTGGGACAGAAGCACACGTTTCTATTTTTATTTTATCTTAAAATAAAAAATAATTTTTATATTAAATTAATTTATTTATTGGTATATATCATTTTATCTTGTTTATAATTTTTTTTTATTATTCATTAATAAAATACATATTAATTATAATGTAATATTATAAAATTATAAATATTTATTATTATTATTATTATTATTACTTATATTTATATTTTTTTTATAATACTACAATTTAGTTTTTCCATAAAATTATAGTAATGCTTAAAATATATTATAAGTATTACACTTTACATAATTGTAATCGTAAATATACATAAAAGTTAACAAATTATATATATAATATTATTTAATACAATATTTTTTAATTATAAAATTTTCTTAATAGAAAGATTAAGTAATGATTGTAATTCATAATGATTTTTAACTTTTAACAATAAAAATAATAAAAAAGTTCATTATGCTAATTGTATTAGAATGAAGTGATTTTTAGTATGTGAGATCAATCTTTTAGAAGGTTTGATATCTATTTCAATATATTTTTGGTTTTCTCTATTATTTGATTTTGATTAGATACTCATTTGGAAATTTTCTTGTATTGTTATCTATCATATAGGTGAGAAGTTATTCTTAGTGATCTTGGTGATTTCAAGAGGACTTGTAGTGTATTCATTAATTATTATTAATAGAGTTTTTAATGAATTAGGTCTCATAGATTTTTTCCTCATATCGAGAGTTTTTCTATGTTAAAATTTTGTTGCATGTTTGATTTCTATTTTTATGTTTTGGGTATCTTATCGTACTTGTTGTTTCTGGAGCCTATTGTTAATTTTACTAGGCAAAATGAGATATAATTTTTCTTTCACTTAATTGTTATTATTAGTGAAATTTTTATTGAATTACGTCTCATAAATTTTTGCCTCATATTGACAATTTTTTTTACATTAAAATTTTGGTGTCTATTAATTTTTAATTTTCTATTTTGTGTATCTTGTTATACACTTGAAATTATCTTGTTACTTTCAAAATTTATTATTATTTATACAAGGAGAAAAATCCAATTTTACTTCCGCTTATTTGTTATTATTTGTTACTTTCCCAACACAAAACAAAGCAAATGAAAAAACAATAGAAAAATGAACAATTATCCATTAAACATAGCACAACAATATCTTGAGTAGCTCCAAATGCTAGACCACTACCTACCCTTAAGAAAGTGAAAGATGCTATATAAATTCCACATTAATAAAAATGAGTGAAGATGAGATTGAAAACTATCAACTGATGTTTATGATAAATAAAACAATTTTTATATTACCTTTAGCGCCATGTTTATGCTACTCAGAAGATCTAGTGAATCGTGGAACAACAATGATAGAAGACGAACTATGTGTTTAACATTTATAATATTTCTAGTTAATGTAATGCATGGTAACGTGGTAATGTGACGATTATAAAAATGTTAGAGGTGGTAGATTTATGCGCTTACCCACGTCGATTTCATTGTGTTTTATTTCAACCGTTTACAACTTTTGATTTTGGTTAATTCTGGTTTATTCATTTTTTTTTGTTTTAAAATAATGTGTTCTTCTTATATGAAAGAGAGGGAAAAAAAGAAAAAAGAAATATGCATGTACACCAAAATCTGATGTGAATACCAAAATCTGATATGGATTTTATTTTTATAGAGATAAACATTTAAAATGACGGCGCTAATTTTATACGCCCACGCATCTAATCAGATAAAGCTTTATTAAGTAAATATAAAGCAATTATATGCTTTCTGTATAAGTAAATGAGAACAAACCAAGAAGAAAAGACTAAGCTAAACGCAACCTATATTAATTAATCTCTAAGATGTAGATGGTTAAGCATATAGCTTAATTATACAAAAAAGTACTTTATTGGTTGTTGGTGTTTGTTCAAAGAAAGAAAAAAAGACAAATTCAACAAATTATATTATTACAATAGTTCCTTTTTCCGGATGAATCAATCAATCAAACTCGTTTATAATAATTTACCTATATTGCTTGACTGAACAAGACTCCTTTATCCCTTCATATTTATTTTATTACAACAATAACTAATTATTTGCAGATGCCGGCAAATCATAAAATAGATCTTTTTAAATATTTTAAATTATTAAAAATAAAAAATAAAATCCTTTTCATTATGATAACTTTTTCAGTAAAAATTATAATAATGACAATAAGTTTTGGATTCAAGACTTTTTATATATTACTTCTATCTTTCACAGCCAAAAAAATATCCATTTTAATTATGTCTCTGTTATAAGGCATAATATTGGAATCTTGGTTTTGTTCTACCAAATTGGAAATTCTTAATTTCTTTAAAATTGATTTGGTAAGCTTTATCGGCCGGCCTCAAGAACAACAATCTGCAGAAGACTAGAGTCGACTCCTTAATTATTGAAGCATAGAGAAAAAGAGGAATAAATAAAACGCACAAACGACAATTTGCACTGAAATATTCGTGTTTTGATGTTTTAAACCACATAAACGAAAATTTTCATAAAATAAATCTTTTTAAATATTTTAAATTATTAAAAAATAAGAAGAAAATCTTTTTTCATTATGATAACTTTTTCAATAAAAATTATTGTTTAGTAAAAATTAAGATGATGCCGATAAGTTTTGGACTCAACTTTTTATAGATTACTTCTATCCTTCACTATTATGCCTAAAAAATATCCATTTTAATTATGTACTTGTTAGGCATAATATTGGAATCTTGGTTTTGTTCTAGCAAATTGGAAATTCTTGATTTCTTTAAAAATTGATTTGGTAAGGTTTATCGGCCGGCCTCAAGAACCACACCCTGTGGAAGACTAGAGTCGACTCCTTAATTATTGAAGCATAGAGAAAAGAAGAATAAATAAAAGGCATAAACGACAATTTGCACTGAAATATTCGTGTTTTGATGTTTACTTTTTCAATCCTATCTCTCTTTGTCCATTGACCAATATTTCATCTGTACATATCTGCATACATCAATTTCGTGAATTTCAATCATGTCACAGCTAATATGTCTAACCCACTTATAACCAATTATCTTCACTCCATTCATTCATGCCTTAAACCCTGCATATGGCATCGAGGAAAAAACTAATCTCCACATGTCACGTCTTCTCATATAGTTCAACAATATTACCGATCGATCGATCATTTTCTGCGCCATTTTCTTAATTCGGTGTTCACATCTTAACTCATAACACGCTTTGCTCCGTCATTGTTGAAGTATTCTCTTTTTCATATGTAATTCCAAGAGATCATGTTATTGACCTTGGTGTTGATCTGCAGAAACAAACACTTCTTTTCAGATATTTTGGACCATGCAATAAAATAAATACCCAAAGACTAATTAACCGTTCAAAACTCGCCCAAGTCTTAACTTGAAGGTGCATCCAGAAGAACCGGAACTTTCTACCCATATATTTAAATGTAGTAATATATTTGCGTTATAATTTTTAATAAAGAAATTCTCTTGATATATTTATTTTCACCTAATATATTTTAACAAAAATGATTGGTAAACATTAAAACCTTTTAAAATACTGGGTCAACCATATTTATGGAATAATAAAAAATAAAAAAAAAAACTCATATACACTTGCGAGAGAGAAAAATACAAGTATAATAAATACTATGATATATTAAAAAAAATATATTAATAAGATATATAAAATGATCGGATATCCAAATTTCATCACTCTAATTTTAACAACTGAATAGATTTAACTAAATAAAGATTCCCCCTAATATAAATAAGGATTCACCAATTTCATCCCGTCTAAATATGATGATTGAACATTTATGTTGTTTGGTTGTAGAAACATAATTAGGATAAAACTTGCTTGTAATATTGTGAGTAATATTCTCTAATTAAAATTAAAACTTATTGATAAATACTACTGTATTTAAGATTTGTTTATATTGTTATATAATTAAACCCTCGAATTTATTTATATATTTTCGATGCTATATAATTATTAGTGCATGACATTATCCGAGTGTAGAATGTTTTGTTGTAACTAGGTTTTATGATGGGAAGAATATTTGAAGAAAGAAAGAAGATGAGAATTGAGAAGGATAAAATACCAGAGGTGATCCTGCGGCGCTTGGGGGGAAAAATCTGGCGGAAATCGGTGTGAGGCACGGGAAGTTGGGGCTGCACCATCTCAAACTTGTTGTCGTGGTCGGAAGTTTCATAGAGCCCTCCATCGGGCGCATGGCACGGTGGCTTGGCCTTCCGGCGGCCGGCACCGACGGCGACGTTCCGGAGGGCCCCACCAGCGGTCCAGTACCTCTGGCAGGTCTTGCAAAAATGCCTTGGCTGATTAACGTTGTAGTTGTTGAAGTAACAGAATTTGGTTTCCATGCTCTTGCATCTGGGGCAGGCTATTGTCTTCTCGCTTCCCTTTTCCCCTTTCTTCACTTCTCCACTGTTCAATCTAATCGTTGCGCCAAACAGCTTAATCCCTTCACTCTCTTCTGCCATCAATCTCACACACACACAATTATTCTTAATGGACAAGTTTTTCCTGTTTAGGGACCAAATATTATCCAAGGCCTTTTATATGCATATATAGCCTCATGTATAAAGCAAAAAGTGTTTCTTAGTTATTATAATCATAAACTATGGCATCAGATCCATGTGCTACGCGCCAAAATCTAAACTTAGGTGGGGGTATAAAGGAAATTTTTATTTCATTACTCTAGTCCCAATTATTATCTTCGCAACATATATACTTAATTAAGTTATGTGTTATTAATTTGTGTAAATTAAATAATTAAATGTGTTACATAAAAATTGGTTGAAACTGTAAGCTTATCAAAAAATTAAAAAAGGAAAACTTTTGAGGGAACTGTACAGTAGAAAGCTTAGCTCATCATCTTTACTGTTTTTCTTGTTAAGTTGCTTCATGTGACATGCATGAGAAAGACCGTGAAATATTTGCTCAGATAAATAGTTTTTTTTTTTTTTTTTTTTTTTTTTAAAGAGTTTTAA